AAAAATCAATTCTACAAAATTCTACTTAACACTGGAATTATAATCTAAGAAATTTAGACGAAGAAGTGAAGTGATCTGCCTCGTTTAACACAGCAGATACCTGAGAACCTTGTGATCAACTGAAGCATACATCTCGCGAAAGATCCTCCAGTATCGGGAATCCGATTCACAACATTAAAGGAAGATATTTAGCTTATTTAAATAAAACATAAGATTTACAAAAAAATTCGTTGCCATAAAAATTAATATTTTAAAGACTTCCGCTTCCTTCTTATTCGCCTGTTAAGAATCTTAACACCGAGTGGTGAATTGAAAAGCCTAAATTACAATCTAAGAAACTTACAAGCCCAGCGATCTGCTCCGTTTAACACAGCGATTCCTTGCGAACACCCGCAGATACCCGAGAACCTTGTATACACTATCAACTACACAACTCACGAACGATCAACAAAATCAACAAAAAATTAGAATTTTAAAAACTTCCACTTTCTTCCTATTAAGAATATCTCTAAACACAGATAGTGAATATCTATAGATATTACGATCTAAGAAATTTACAAGCCAATCGATCTATTCATTACGAACATAGTAAATACCTAAGAAGACCTTAGACCATGTATCGTATACTTTACGAATGATCCTCCAGTATCGTAAATCCGATTCATAAATTAAAAGTAAGTGCGCTTATTTGGTAAATGTAAAATCAGCATAAAAATTAGAATTTTAAAAACTTCCACTTTCTTCCTATTAAGAATATCTCTAAACACAGATAGTGAATATCTATAGATATTACGATCTAAGAAATTTACAAGCCAATCGATCTATTCATTACGAACACAGTAAATACCTAAGAAGACCTTAGACCATATATCGTATACTCTACGAATGATCCTCCAATATCGCAAATCCGATTCATAAATTAAAAGCTTATTTGGTAAATGTAAAATCAGCAAAAATTAGAATTTTAAAAACTTCCACTTTTTTCCTATCTAAACGTAGATGGTGAATATTTAAATCCATTACGATCTAAGAAATTTACAAGTGATCTGCTTCATTTAACGATTCCTTACGAACAGAGCAGATACTTGAGAACCTTGTATGTATCAGCATGTATCGTACAATCCTTCAGTATCGCAAATCCCATTCATAAATTAAGAAAAAAGAAAAAAATACACTTATTTGTAAGATCGACGGAAAATGGTGACGTTGGCATAAAAATCGGAATTTTAAAAACTTCCACTTTTTTCCTATCTAAACGTAGATGGTGAATATC